ATGAAAACTAAAACAAAACTTTTCAGGTTCTCTCGACTTAGCAAGCAACAAATCTGTACTGAGACTGGAAGGTAACTTCTGGGTACCTCCAATAGAGGATCAACTGAAGTTGGGCCCCTCACACGTGTTGGACTATTTGCGTTCAGAAACCTATAGAGTGTAAGTAGTTGTGAATTGTGACACTGAACATGTGAGTTGATCAAACTATTGTCAACCCTCCCCTTTTAGGAATGGGCAATCTTTTTTTAAGTTCAAAAACTAATTATATAAAACTATCAATTCTTCCCCATTAAGTCAAATTGTTTTTAAGTTAAATAGTTTATTTTTCTATAGCCTATTAAGTTTCTGGTTAAATAGTAAATTGTAGGTATTGTTCATCGTTCTTGAACTTTGTGTTCTTGGATTGTTTTGTTTATAAAATGTATTAATTTACAGACTGTACAGCCGGCACATGTCAGCGAAGCCGCCACCGCCGCCGCAAACCCTCGACAAGAGCAAGAAGGCGAGCCGAGCAAGATCTTAAAAATGCTATCAATACAAATTTTGTGCCATTAATACTAATTAATCAATTATTTTAGCAAAATTGATGTTTATGACAAAGCATAGTACTTTATCATGTGCACTAAAACTATATTTAACTTTTTAATGTATAATTTGTCTAACAAATTGTTTAGATTTAAGGAATATTTTAAACCTGTAACTTACAGGTTATTACTGTGTTGGATGGCTTTAAAGACAAGCATCGAAACCAAAACTTTGCATAAAAAATAAAGTGTGTTGGTGAGGTTTAGTCCACCTTCATTAACACTTCCCATTTGGTGACTAATTGTGAGTTCGAATTTAAAAACATTATAGATACATTTTAATGAAAATTTATCTACATTTTAACATGAAATTTTATTTAAATACATAACTTACACCTACTACTTTAATTTTCATTATGTGCATTTGATAGTTTTCTCTACAAAAAATCGTTCTTTGTCAGACACGGTTATTTTGGTTCTTAAGCTTTCCGCTTAAGAACCAAAATAACCGTGTCGTGCGCCAGTATTTTTTAAATGAGTTTTTCTGGAAATAGCTATACAATGGGATTATACGAACTTAGAGGGTTGAATTGATGATTATAATGATAATAATGCTGTAAACACATACTCCTTAAGGTCGCGAATCAACAACCTAACCCTCGCCAGCAAATTCCAATAAACGAAGAAAATTGAAATTTAGTGGACCACCCTGGCGCTTTCACCTTAACTACTGATTGCATTATGGTGTTCATCATATTGCAAAAAAAATATGAACGAAGAGATTAGTCTTTATACTAAACTCGACAAGTGTAGAAGCCAGTATTCAGTGTAACAATGTTACAATTTTATACTCCCTAAAACTGTCGTCAATTGTAGTTACTAACGTATTTTTAAGAAATTTAAAATTAATAATATATTCAAAATATGTAAATAAGAAAATTTATAACATACATTTTTCATAGTTAATAAATTTATAACTTCTTGTTGGCCAGTAAAATTCTACTGCTGGATATATTAAGACTTGCGTTGTAGGAGACTTGTCTTAATCGTAACTCTTGGCCGGCGGATTGGAGAACCTAGTATCGGACGTCTCGTAACCTTAACGCTGCTGCCCGTCGCCGGGTTAATCAAGGTGGCTATAACGCCACCTTGATTAACCCATTATACGTGGTAGAGCCATGCTGCAGCTATATTAGTGGTATAGTTGTAGCACGAATGGGTCGGCTCGACCGGGGAAGGACCACGCTCTCACAGAAAACCAGCGTAAAATAGCAGCTTAACGCTGCTGTGTTTTGTATGGTGAGTGTAGAGAACCGGAGACCCTTTTTACTGGCAAAGAGGCATTCCATCTTAGTCCTCACGGGTGACAACGCATCTGCATCTTCAGTCTTTATTGAGGATAGATGTAGATGTCTATGGGTCGCAGTGGCCACTTACCATCAGGTGTACTGTATGCTCGTTTGTCACCCTATCCTATATAAAAAAAAAACGAGATCTATGGGAAGCTATAACATTTTTCTGGCATTCTCTTTTACGACTCATGGGGCCAAATGTGGTGATGGATTCTTTTACTTACGCCATCACATTACGGAGAATTCATATGGGCCAATTGAACAATATTTTAAATATTATTATGGTAGAGCCATGCTGCAGCTATATTATGGTTGTAGCACGAATGGGTCGGCTCGACCGGGGAAGGACCACGCTCTCACAGAATACCAACGTAAAATAGCAGCTTAACGCTGCTGTGTTTCGTATGGTGAGTGTAGAGAACCGGAGACCCTTTTTACTGGAAACGAGGCATTCCATCTTAGTCCTCACGGGTGACAACGCATCTGCATTTTGATTCTTAATCGAAGATAGGTGTAGTTGTCTATGGGCCACAGCAACCACTTACCATCAGGTGGACTGTGTGCTCGTTTGTCACCCTTATCCTATAAAAAAAAAAAAAAAAAAATTGAAAAAAGATGTTAAAACTTGTAGAAAAATATTTTTATTCAGAAAACTCGTACATATTTAAAAATAACACACATTGTACAAAATGACAAACATTAAAAGTGCACTTATTTATTTGTCAATATATAACTAAATTTAACTCTATGGCATGGTGCTAATAATACAAATAAAGTATTACTAAAATAGTAACATTGTTTTATTTAATGTAATTCAAATATATACGAATTTTGTTTTATTATCATTACGATTTAGGCTGGTTTCACAGCTGTACGGGTAGCCCGTAATGCGGGAGACCCCTACGGGTAGCGCTCGCAGTGTTCTAAAACGAGTGTTTATTACGATACGGATGCTAGCGGAAGACAGTCGCAAATGAAAGTGAATGCGAACGTATTAAACATTCTTGGTATTTATTTAATTTGTGAGAGACGACGACGACAGAGAAAGAGACCAGGGGTACATCCCATCATCGAAGCAAGATGTTTCGAAAGTGCATTGTAATTTGTAACCTTAAACTATAAACTTACGAACGATCCGCGCAAATTTTTTAATTATTTTCGTATGTCGATTAGTAGTTTTGATGAACTACTATCCAGGTTGGAGAACAGAATAAAACATCAAGACATGTTTCGTGCTGCTATCTGTCTATATATGTCTATGACAAATCTCGTGTCAAGTAATCGTCTCATCTCGATTGTACTCACGGAGCACGGGCGGAGCGCATCGCTGTGAAACGATGCATGAGCAGCGCAGCGGTGCGCTCGCGTCTCATGTACGGGGGTCCGGGTGCGGGACGCGGGTGGTATTGTACGGGCTCTACGCGGACCGAGTCCCGTACGGAACAATCCTGGCTGTGAGACTATCTTATAGCGCCTCACGTCTGTCTCCGCTCCGGGAGCCCGTAGGGGACTCCCGTACAGCTGTGAAACCAGCCTAATGTAAATTATAAATGGTACCAAACAATACAAAAAATTGATGTTGTCATCTGAAATGGGAAAGAAGAAGAAACACAATATATACAAGTTCAACTGATGCCCGATGTTAATTATTTACTATGGATACCACAAAGTTTTTTGGTGTCTAAAATAGTTGAGCAAAGGCAATTCATCAGATTCTATAAACCAATTGTTTATTTTTTTGAACGCTGGGCACTGGCTAGGGATCGGCAAGGGAAAAAATAAATATCGATTTAAATCGATATTTTTAAACCGTATCGATATATATCGCGCGATAAATATCGACATATCGTCTTCATTTGCATGATGTAAAGATAAGGTCCATAATTTTATATGACTGACAGTTGGACGACGGAAAACTTTTTGTACCACCTGTTGTTACGTTTTGTCATACAACATTTTAAAATATATCTAAATTGATACGAATTCGATACTCTAAAATAAATATCGATATATCGCGATTTAAAATATCGACGATATATATCGAAATTTTTTGCCCAAGCCTAGCACTGGCTGGATATGAATTCGTGACATGCCCGAGACGTACGCTTAAGTCGTAGGTCCCGGGCATGTCACGAATTATAAAGTGATAACAAAGCCACACGCATGTCGATCTACCCGTATTTTTGTAATTAAAAAAAAATATGTTGCAATTTATTATACCGAATCTAAAAGCAAGGTCGAAATAATTAATTGTAGGAAAATCAATAGTATTTTCATTTTATAAATCCATTATTAACATACATATTGAGATCACTAAAATGTTACCAATAACAAATAATAACAGTCACTGTAAGTATATATACAAAAACCTGTTCAAAGCGAACATTAAACAGATTATTTGACAACATGTAAATCAGTTAAGAGAAAATGTTTATTATTTAGTAAAGGAGTCGAATTATTGGCAACTATTTTGTTGCCAATAATTCGACTGGTCGAAAGAAAATAGCATAGTAAAATTAATAAAAGATACAAAACAATGCAGAAAAAAAATAGAGAATAGTGAACAAAGCTACAGTTGCAAAAAGCACATTTAAAAAAAATCAAGAGAAAAAACATGCGTGAGTGTCGTGGAACACTCTGTTGGAACGAAGTTCCTTTCGTAGTATATTATTATTGATAAACGTATTATATTTTTGACTTAAGAAATATAAATAAATGAATTAAGGTACGTTGGGGTAATACCGGACGGATTTTCGAATAGTTGGAAGAGTCTGCCAAAAAATCTAATTTCTCGACATTCGTATACGTCAGATTTATGGAACATGGAGCAAACCGTTAATCGTTAAACGTATTTTAGCTCTGAGAATCTTTTGCTTGTGCAAACTCAACGGTTTCTGCTTTAAAGGTATGCGAAAACTAGACATACTTTTTTATATGCATAATGAAAAATTGGCCATTAAGGGGTAAGACCGGACTTAAATTTAAAACCACTTCTACTGCTTAGAGAAAAAAGTTTATAAAAGAGATTTGTCCTATCTTTAACGCTCAAAAACATATTTCAATATGATCTATAAATTACTAGAAACATAAATGTTCCAAACGATTTTCTCTTTTTTTGTTTCTTGCCATCCGATCTTATCCCTGATACAAAGAAATTGTAGTTTTATGTTTCTCAAACTTTGTTATGACATAAGATGGAATTACTCAATATAAGAGAAAGATCGGATGCATTTGATTTTATATGGGAAAAAAAAATAACAGTAAGGACTGGCGAAATGCCCTTGGATAATGCAGGAGTTAAGGAAGATATAAATATTTTAACAAAGCGACATTTATTATTATAAATTATTTTTTAAATAATTATTATAAATTACATTTTGATTTGTAATAGAGGATAGGTATAGATGTCTATGGGCCGCAGCAATCACTTAACATCAGGTGGACTGTGTGCTCCTTTGTCACCCTTATCCTATAAAAAAAAATGTATTTTAATGTGTACTTAAAAGTAATAATACCATCGTATTGTTTTATTACTTTTAAATATACAGACTTGCTAACAACACTGAATCCCATAGTCACTTGAGTAATCAACGAAAAATATACACGACCAATGAAAGTTTAACAACCACTGCCATATTTGTAACAGGCAAAGATCGGATAATATTCATCCGATCTTCACTCACGAGGGGAAACATCGGATCTCGGCCTACAGCGATCTTAGCCCTGCATGGACCAGCTTTATTTAGCTATAACTTCATAAAAATTAGTATCCACACAAAATAATAACAAAAGAAGCCATATTCTCGCTAAAAATCGTAAATAAAAGTGATAGGGAAAGATCGGATGGACAAAAATAATACAAAAATTACATTGTTTTATAAAATGCCACGCAGCACAGGTCCCACTTGCCGGAGTGACTGGCGTGAACTGAGGGTCGGGGCAGGATGAAATGGCGTCGTGTAGCATATTGTTAGCTTTTCAAAATATAGCATAATTCGCCGGGAATTTGAATCCTACGGTCTTGCCCCATCACCGATCTTACCCCAACGTACCTTACTATACTCTGTACACCATAGCTTGATCCTTTTGACAGATGTCAAATTTGCGACATAACTTTGCAATGACGAACATAATATTATCTTCATCATCATCATCATTACAGCCCTTCACAAGTCCACTGCTGAACATAGGCCTCCCCCAAAGAATGCCACAAAGCACGGTCCCGAGCCACCTGCATCCATCGACTTCCTGCAAATCTTACCAGGTCGTCACTCCATCTAGTGGGGGGACGCCCTACACTTCGCCTGCCGGTACGAGGCTGCCACTCGAGAACCTTTCTTCCCCATCGGTTGTCGGTTCTTCGAGCTATATGGCCGGCCCATTGCCACTTCAGCTTACTAATCCGTTGGGCTATGTCGGTCACTCTGGTTCTACTGCGGATATCCTCATTTCTGAGTTTATCACGCAGAGAAACTCCGAGCATAGCCCTCTCCATAGCTCGCTGAGCGACCTTGAGCTTCCTCATCCGGCCAGCAGTGAAGGACCACGTCTCAGTTCCGTATGTCATCACTGGCAACACGCACTGGGTGTACAGTCTCGTTTTCAAGTTTTGAGGTATACCTGACGAGAAGATGTGCCGTAATTTCCCGAACGCTGCCCAACCGAGTTGAATCCGTCGATTGACCTCTCGGTCGAAGTTGGACTTACCTAGTCGGACTATTTGTCCCAGGTAAACATACTCGTCAACAACTTCGAGCTTAGTGTTCCCAACAACTACCGGCATAGGTGTGACATGGACATTAAACATGATCTTTGTTTTGTCCATGTTCATCTTAAGACCTATCCGTTGGGAAACACTATTGAGGTCATTGAGCATAGTGCTTAGGTCCTCCAGCGATTCTGCCATAAGGACTATATCGTCGGCAAATCGAAGGTGAGTGATGTACTCGCCATTGATGTTGATACCGTATCCTTTCCAGTCCAGAAGCTTGAAAACATCTTCCAATGCAGCGGTGAAGAGTTTCGGGGATATGACGTCACCCTGTCTTACACCTCTCTGCAATTGGATAGGTTTCGTACTCTGGTTCTGTACTCGGATAGCCATCGTAGCCCTACTGTACAAGCACTTCAACACTTCGATATACCGACAGTCAACTTGGCATCGCTGAAGGGACTGCAGCACCGCCCAAATTTCGACGGAATCAAAGGCTTTCTCATAGTCCACATACGCCAGACATAGTGGCAAATTGTACTCCTCGGACTTCTGTACAATTTGCCGAGGGGTATGTATGTGGTCTAAGGTGCTAAAGCCTTTTCGGAAACCGGCTTGTTCGGGAGGCTGGAAGTCGTCAAGTCTGCGCGCGAGACGATTCGTAATGACTCTCGAAAACAGCACGTAGACGCGGCTCAGAAGGGAAATCGGTCTGTAGTTCTTCAAGAGAGCGTTGTCGCCTTTCTTGAAGAACAAGACCACCGCACTTCTGCTCCACGCCTCCGGTGTAATGCCACCATGGAGGACGGAATTAAAGAGCTTCTGAAGGACTTCAAGTACCGGTTTTCCACCCGCTTTCAGAAGCTCCGCTGTAATTCCATCCTGGCCTGGGGCCTTGCCGTTTTTAAGGTGCTGGAGAGCCATTCTAATCTCGCTCAGACTGACGTCCGGGATATCATCGGAATAATGTCGGATAAGACTCGCTCTTGGATCGTTACTCACACTTGCGTGTGGCTCCAACGATGACGTGTACAGCTGCCCATAGAACCTCTCAATCTCACTCAAAATCTCAGGTGCCCCGGAAACGATGCTGCCACATTCGGTCTTCAGCTTTGACAGTTGGCTCTTTCTGGCAGACAGATCTCTGGCAAAGACTTTGGAGCCTTGGTTCCGCTCGATCGCTTCTTCAATACGAGCTGTATTGAAGTTGCGTAAGTCCCGCCGCATGCATTTGGAGATCTGTCTGTTCAGTTGCCTGTATGCTGTCAAATCTGTTGAAGAATGTAGCTTCATCTCCCGTCTAACAGCCATGAGATTAAGAGTGTGATCGGAGAGTTTTTGTGTTCTTCTGCGGCGGGTCTTGCAGAACTTAGCTCCGACCGCATGGACAGTTTCCACGAGCTTGTCATTCAAATCGTCCACTTCATTGCAGTCTTCTAGGCACTGAAAACGGTTTTGCAACTCGAGCTGAAAGGTTTCGGGACTTTGGATTAGAGCACGAGGGGGACGGAGCGTTGACTTCATTAGACGAGACCTCTCCAACTTAACGTTTAGGTTCAGTGTGCCTCTAACCATTCGGTGATCGCTGCCGGTTTTCACCCTCGCGATCACTGAGACATCACTGAACAGTTGTCGTCTGGTCGTCATAATGAAGTCAATCTCATTTTTTGTCGAACCGTCGGGGCTCGACCAGGTCCACTTCCTGTGGGGCCGCTTCTGGAAGAAAGAGTTCATCATAAAGAGTCCCTCTTTCTCCATGAAGTCGGCCAACTGCTGGCCCCTTGGGTTCCGTTGCCCTATTCCAAATTTCCCCACTTTCAGCTCACCGTTCTCTCTTGTGCCTAGTTTTGCATTGAAGTCTCCCATTAACACCGTATATTGGGTTTTGGAGGAATGCATGGCTCTAGAGATATCCTCATACATTTCCTCCACCTCCTGATCGGGGTGTGCCGAGGTTGGTGCGTAAACCTGTATGACCTTCAGCGAATACCGTTTGGTGATTCTGAGTATAAGGTACGCAACCCTCGTCGACACACTCTCAATCTTTACAACGTTGTTAACGAGAGACTTGTGGACGATAAATCCGACACCTCCTTGGGACAGATGGTCGCCCTCCCGGTGATAGAGCAAGTTGCCGGATTCAAGGATTACCGTGTCCTCCCCCTCTCTTCGGACTTCGGATAATCCTATAATATGCCAGCGTAACTTGTCTATCTCTTCTTCCAGCTCCACAATCTTCTCGTCAGTCCTCAGGGTGCGTGCGTTGTATGTTGCCAGGTCGAGTCGTTGTAGGTGGCAACCGAACCTCCACCGGAGATTCTTAGCACCCCCTGCCCCGCCGTTACCATGGTCGCCACCGTAGCCAGGAATAGCGGGGCCGCCGGGGACTGGGGGCCGTCTCTTCGTAACCTTCATTATGGGGGGTATATTGCCATAGTTGCCACGCTTGGCGAGCGGGTTGGCAACCGCAGTTTTTTATTGTATTTTGTCGTTACCAGGAAGATGCTGCTGCCCATCTCCTGCCTGTTTCCCTTTGTCGCCTTTTACGACACCCACGGGAAGATATGGGGTAGTGGATATTCTTAACCGCCACTACACGGCATAATATTATCTTATTTTAATAATTTTAAAAATTGTTAAAAATTTAAAAAATAGACACAAAACACAAAAGTATTAAAGATTCAAGCATTTTCCGAAAATCTTAGAGGTTTTTATTGCTTTAAATAGAAAAACTGAAAACAATGGACGCTCGTGCAATGTTACATCGGTGGGTCGGATGGGACACAAATAACAGGCAGTAACTGTCGCAAAGAAGCCTTTTATCGAGTTAGCAACACTGGCAGCACTGGCGCCGTCCACCCGCCTGGCCTGTTAGTACGAGTGCGACAGCCTTGTATGCGTCGCGTTCAGAGTGTCAAGAATTATAACCTACTTTGTTGTTCTTTTGTTTTGTTGCGTTATTATTTAATAGGTATTTAAGTTTTTATTGTTGAATTTTAGTTTTCGTTGTGAACTTTTGTTAATCATGCCTAAAAGGGTTAAAAAAAATGTGATTAACAGTGAAACGCGTGAGTTTGTAATACGCATACGCAATTACTTTGAGCGTGAGTGTCAAAATGGCGGACCATTATTGCCATTGTCTCAAGTGCAGCAACGTGTAGCTGGCGCTTTAGGAATTGGATTAGCTACAATAACACGTATATCGACTGAAAAATTTTGCTTAGAAGGTGATGAGGAGAATAAGCTATCGACTCCTAATAAAAAACGAAGGCGTATCCAATCTACAGTCGATATTGACGATTTTCAATGTGCGGCTATACGAAACCACATTTATGGGTATTTATTCAAGGAAAGAATTATCCACACTTGACAAGTTGCTGGGAACATTAAGAGAAGCTGGTTTATATTACGGTGGTCGAACCTCGCTGTCAAAACTATTAAATAAAATTGGTTTTCATTACCAAAAATCAAACAACCGCAAGATCCTTACGGAAAGGAACGATATAGCACTCAAGAGATTTGATTTTTTAGGAAAAGCTAAAAATACTTCTAATTGGGAGGTTGTTTTTAGACGAAACGTGGTTGAATGACAATCACATTGTGAAAAAAACATGGAACGATGATACGGCCCAATCATCCACAAAAGCTATGCTAAGCTATATCCAGCTATGTTGTACAGGGTATAGCGTCTATTAAAATGAAGCGTCATTTAAAATAATATTTATTTCATGGCAAAAGCGAGAGGGAGATGGATATTATTCCTTCTCGCTTCCTTATAGCCGCCAAGGCCGTCTACACTATGTCAGAAGAGGCCGTGACGGAAAAATCTTACACTTTCTCGCCTAGCCCCCGTCCGCCAAATTCGTAACGTCCGGTAAGGAACTTCTTTCCAAAAAAAAAACGATAGGATGGGAAACTACGGTTCCCAACGTTATTACGGTTACGAAAGTACGGTTCAACTTATTAAAATAAGTTTACATTAATTAGATAATAATTATACTTTGCGTTTCTAATAGTTGACATTTTCAGATAGTATGAGATGTATCAGAGGAAAATTAAACGAAGATCCACTCAACAGATTACCATAGCTAAGGATTAAATTATACTTTTATACCCTCTTATTCTAGGAAAGGTCGCCTACATTTCCTATTTATTGGTTGCAAGTGAATGCAAATGTCTTCTATCATTCTTTCTACAGATAAAACTTTATATACCGAATAATTAGACTGTAATCCATATTGTTTATAAACAAAATTAATTTCAAGCACCGGTTTTGTTGATAAACATATATGTACATAATTAAGAAACTCACAAAACCTTATAAATATTATTCATTAAAAAATAAATTTACGAACACAATAAGAATTAAATAAAAAGAACATGTTATTTCCTTCAAAAATAAAGAAAAATTTATATCGGTCTTTGCTGCAAATTTTTGAAAAGCTTTTCTAAATTGAATAAGAAATATTGATATCCTTTCGTTAAGAACGTCATAATGCCATTGATTGTACAATCCTATTGTAAAATGGTTCCATGTTGCTGCCATAGCTATGTCCGTGATTGGCAGTATAAAATTACTTTTCTTTAGTTTTGTATTTTTCTTCACTTTTACAATAGAATACCAGCCTTTTAGGGAAGCACATAGATCATAATGCTTTATTTTAACATGTTGTTATCAAGTGTTACATGTCTTGATAAAGTTTTTATTGTATTTTTCAGTGACGATGCGGCCACCTACGCCATATCTATGCAGACAGTACTGTATGCTAGGACTTTTCAGCGTTTCCATAGCAAATGTCCAAATGCATTCAGAAATATTCTTCATCGTCGGAAGAGTCGTCCTCTGATATATCCAGATTATTCCTGGTAGAGTTGGCTATGGGCTTACTTCTTTCCAGCGAGAACGCGTACGATTCATAGTTCAAAACTTCATCATCACTTAAGTGGGAGTTTCCCTCGACAAAGCTCGCGAATCTGATTGAAAAATAAACACATTCAGATATTAAGTGTAACGGTGCGTACACATTATATAACATAACATGTTGTTGTTGTTATATAACATATTTCAGTGATGTGGAGTCTTAATGTTATAAAACGTGTTATATAACTCGAACGGCAGAACGACAAACGACAATGTCATATAACATTGTTATATTGCATTGTTATTCTAATGTGTACAGTATTGTTATATGTTGCAATGTTGAAAAACAATGTTACATAATGTGGACGTGTTATAAAACCTAAGTTATACGACATGTTACTTAATCTGTACGCACCCTTAACCATCTATAATGAGGTTTTGCGATACAATAATTTTACATGTAATAGAGTCACGCTGCGCCTAAATTGTTTGTAGCACGAAGGATGATGTTTTATATGCTGGCTGACGAAAAGCAGATACCTTTTATACTGCTAACAAGGAATTTACCTTAGTTTTTAGGGGTAGCGCCACATTTGTATTTCGAAACATCATTAAATGCCGCTACACGGCAGAAAGTGACCAGGAGACTCATCTCCTTATTAAGAAGACGCCACGATAAGTGAAAAAAAGCGCACAGGACCTGCCTTCGTGGCAACCATAGCAAGTATCCCCTCTACGAGGCGATCTGTGGTGAGGCTTATATTCAGCAGTGGACTTAAGATAGGCTGTAACGATAATTTAGTAAATTAAAATATAACCATTGGGTGGACTGTGTACTTACTTCCTTACCCAGTACGCAGTGGAGAGCTAGATATGAGACATTCATGTAGTAGGAAGGGTTTGTTGCAATCGTCACTTTTGGTATATGAAAAGACGATGGTAGTACCAGCTCTGCTTCATATTTATTAGCAGCATGATGGCCCACTGCCGCAGTGGACAGAATGCCTCCTGTGGGTACAGTCACGCACACTCACCGCTTGGGATCGCTGATGCGCAGCATGATGGCCCACTGCCACAGTGGACAGAATGCCTCCTGTGGGTACAGTCACGCACACTCACCGCTTGGGATCGCTGATGCGCAGCATGATGGCCCACTGCCGCAGTGGACAGAATGCCTCCTGTGGGTACAGTCACGCACACTCACCGCTTGGGATCGCTGATGCGCAGCATGATGGCCCACTGCCGCAGTGGACAGAATGCCTCCTGTGGGTACAGTCACGCACACACACCGCTTGGGTTCGCTGATGCGCAGCATGATGGCCCACTGCCGCAGTGGACAGAATGCCTCCTGTGGGTACAGTCACGCACACTCACTGCTTGGGATCGCTGATGCGCAGCATGATGGCCCACTGCCGCAGTGGACAGAATGCCTCCTGTGGGTACAGTCACGCACACACACCGCTTGGGTTCGCTGATGCGCAGCATGATGGCCCACTGCCACAGTGGACAGAATGCCTCCTGTGGGTACAGTCACGCACACTCACCGCTTGGGATCGCTGATGCGCAGCATGATGGCCCACTGCCGCAGTGGACAGAATGCCTCCTGTGGGTACAGTCACGCACACTCACCGCTTGGGATCGCTGATGCGCAGCATGATGGCCCACTGCCGCAGTGGACAGAATGCCTCCTGTGGGTACAGTCACGCACACTCACCGCTTGGGATCGCTGATGCGCAGCATGATGGCCCACTGCCGCAGTGGACAGAATGCCTCCTGTGGGTACAGTCACGCACACTCACCGCTTGAGATCGCTGATGCGCAGCATGATGGCCCACTGCCGCAGTGGACAGAATGCCTCCTGTGGGTACAGTCACGCACACTCACCGCTTGGGATCGCTGATGCGCAGCATGATGGCCCACTGCCGCAGTGGACAGAATGCCTCCTGTGGGTACAGTCACGCACACTCACCGCTTGGGATCGCTGATGCGCAGCATGATGGCCCACTGCCGCAGTGGACAGAATGCCTCCTGTGGGTACAGTCACGCACACTCACCGCTTGGGATCGCTGATGCGCAGCATGATGGCCCACTGCCGCAGTGGACAGAATGCCTCCTGTGGGTACAGTCACGCACACTCACCGCTTGGGATCGCTGATGCGCAGCATGATGGCCCACTGCCGCAGTGGACAGAATGCCTCCTGTGGATACAGTCACGCACACTCACCGCTTGGGATCGCTGATGCGCAGCATGATGGCCCACTGCCGCAGTGGACAGAATGCCTCCTGTGGGTACAGTCACGCACACTCACCGCTTGGGATCGCTGATGCGCAGCATGATGGCCCACTGCCGCAGTGGACAGAATGCCTCCTGTGGGTACAGTCACGCACACTCACCGCTTGGGATCGCTGATGCGCAGCATGATGGCCCACTGCCGCAGTGGACAGAATGCCTCCTGTGGGTACAGTCACGCACACTCACCGCTTGGGATCGCTGATGCGCAGCATGATGGCCCACTGCCGCAGTGGACAGAATGCCTCCTGTGGGTACAGTCACGCACACTCACCGCTTGGGATCGCTGATGCGCAGCATGATGGCCCACTGCCGCAGTGGACAGAATGCCTCCTGTGGGTACAGTCACGCACACTCACCGCTTGGGATCGCTGATGCGCAGCATGATGGCCCACTGCCGTAGTGGACAGAATGCCTCCTGTGGGTACAGTCACGCACACTCACCGCTTGGGATCGCTGATGCGCAGCATGATGGCCCACTGCCGCAGTGGACAGAATGCCTCCTGTGGGTACAGTCACGCACACTCACCGCTTGGGATCGCTGATGCGCAGCATGATGGCCCACTGCCGCAGTGGACAGAATGCCTCCTGTGGGTACAGTCACGCACACTCACTGCTTGGGATCGCTGATGCGCAGCATGATGGCCTACTGCCGCAGTGGACAGAATGCCTCCTGTGGGTACAGTCACGCACACTCACCGCTTGGGATCGCTGATGCGCAGCATGATGGCCCACTGCCGCAGTGGACAGAATGCCTCCTGTGGGTACAGTCACGCACACTCACCGCTTGGGATCGCTGATGCGCAGCATGATGGCCCACTGCCGCAGTGGACAGAATGCCTCCTGTGGGTACAGTCACGCACACTCACCGCTTGGGATCGCTGATGCGCAGCATGATGGCCCACTGCCGCAGTGGACAGAATGCCTCCTGTGGGTACAGTCACGCACACTCACCGCTTGGGATCGCTGATGCGCAGCATGATGGCCTACTGCCGCAGTGGACAGAATGCCTCCTGTGGGTACAGTCACGCACACTCACCGCTTGGGATCGCTGATGCGCAGCATGATGGCCCACTGCCGCAGTGGACAGAATGCCTCCTGTGGGTACAGTCACGCACACTCACCGCTTGGGATCGCTGATGCGCAGCATGATGGCCCACTGCCGCAGTGGACAGAATGCCTCCTGTGGGTACAGTCACGCACACTCACCGCTTGGGATCGCTGATGCGCAGCATGATGGCCCACTGCCGCAGTGGACAGAATGCCTCCTGTGGGTACAGTCACGCACACTCACCGCTTGGGATCGCTGATGCGCAGCATGATGGCCCACTGCCGCAGTGGACAGAATGCCTCCTGTGGGTACAGTCACGCACACTCACCGCTTGGGATCGCTGATGCGCAGCATGATGGCCCACTGCCGCAGTGGACAGAATGCCTCCTGTGGGTACAGTCACGCACACTCACCGCTTGGGATCGCTGATGCGCAGCATGATGGCCCACTGCCGCAGTGGACAGAATGCCTCCTGTGGGTACAGTCACGCACACTCACCGCTTGGGATCGCTGATGCGCAGCATGATGGCCCACTGCCGCAGTGGACAGAATGCCTCCTGTGGGTACAGTCACGCACACTCACCGCTTGGGATCGCTGATGCGCAGCATGATGGCCCACTGCCGCAGTGGACAGAATGCCTCCTGTGGGTACAGTCACGCACACTCACCGCTTGGGATCGCTGATGCGCAGCATGATGGCCCACTGCCGCAGTGGACAGAATGCCTCCTGTGGGTACAGTCACGCACACTCACCGCTTGGGATCGCTGATGCGCAGCATGATGGCCCACTGCCGCAGTGGACAGAATGCCTCCTGTGGGTACAGTCACGCACACTCACCGCTTGGGATCGCTGATGCGCAGCATGATGGCCCACTGCCGTAGTGGACAGAATGCCTCCTGTGGGTACAGTCACGCACACTCACCGCTTGGGATCGCTGATGCGCAGCATGATGGCCCACTGCCACAGTGGACAGAATGCCTCCTGTGGGTACAGTCACGCACACTCACCGCTTGGGATCGCTGATGCGCAGCATGATGGCCCACTGCCGCAGTGGACAGAATGCCTCCTGTGGGTACAGTCACGCACACTCACCGCTTGGGATCGCTGATGCGCAGCATGATGGCCCACTGCTTGCAGTCGGGGCTGCTGCAGTGCCGCCGCAGCTCGTCAAGCGCGCGCTTGGTCTCGCGCGCGCCCTGCTCGTAGTACTCCTCACTGCTCAACAGCCGCGGCCGCGGCGGGAACTTACGCCGCCTGGATTAGCACTTCGTCCAATCATCATCATCATCATCGTCGTCATCATTACAGCCCTTCACAAGTCCACTGCTGAACATAAGCCTCCCCCAAAGAACGGAACAAATCACGGTCCTGAGCCACCTGCATCTATCAACTTCCTGCATGTCTTCCAATGAGGATTAATAATTTTATAATATAATAATTGTTCGGTCACAAGATGTCGCTAGTTGGGAGTGAAGTGATTTCTTTTTGTATTGGTATTATAATTGCGCAATTGCATTTTAAAGACGTATGTACGTTCTAAGCGCTGCTGATTAGAGCTCAAAACAGTACTTTTCAAACAATCTTACCGCTTATATTACACAAATGTTAATTACTCATAAATTTTAAATTTTATGGTCTAAATAATTAATAACAGAATTTTGTATACTAATACAGTATTTGTGGATGCTATCAAGAAAACTAAACAGAGGTTTTCTTAATTTCCCTTTTAGAAATAATTATAATTTAAGGATGAAACATTTCCTTAACACTTCCTTCCTTTCCGGAGTTCCGGTTCCGGTATTGTGGACGTAAACACGTATACGAATCAGCTCCGTTAAAATAATTCACAATTGCTATTAAAACTAGTTAATTAACCATAAAATTGCGAAAATATGTGAAGAAACCCACTATAGCTTCAAATTACGAAGAAATCTCAGTGGAAAATAGTGTATATAGTGAAATCAAGAACATTTATTATAAAGATAACCATCTGACATTCACAAAAATATTGAATGAACGAAGGAACTTGTATTTTGATAGTTCTAGTGGTGTTGTCAGTAGAAAAATTGTAAATTCTACCAAAATAAATATGGATCAAAGTATGGAATTGCTGCTAGCTAAACTGGACGAGAAGCTGAACCAACAAACTTTAACAATAACCGCCAATGTCACCAATGTCATGCAAGCACTCGACGAAAAAATGAAAACACTCTTGGAAGAAAACAGAACCTTAAAAACGAAAATAAAAAACCTTGAGCAGAAAATACAATCCATGGAAAAGGAAAAGAGAAAGAACAATCTAGTATTTTTCGGCATATAAGAGAAACCGAAAACAGAATGTGAATTAGTAGACTATTTGAAAAAAATCATAGTGGAGATGGGCGTACACCTGGACAGTCAAGAGATAGCCAAAGTCTATAGAATTGGGCAACGTTCAAATAAAAATCGACCAGTAGTGATCTCATTGACAACAACATGGAAAAAACATCTTATTCAGAAGAACAAATCCAACCTGCCTAAAGGCATCTATATTAAAGAAGACTTTCCTAAAGAGGTTCTAGAAACTCGCAAAAAAACTACAACTAATGCTGGAAGAAGAAAGAAAGAAGGGAAATTTAGCATTTCTGAAATACGATAAGTTAGTAGTAAAAAACCTAAAAGATTGTAATCGTGAGAAAAGGAAAAGAGAAAAGGTAGAATCACCAGAAACAATGGCACAAAACACCAAGAAGAAACAGATTACTGACAAACGTATTAATGAGCCATCTACAAATAATACACAAGAAATAGTAAAACCAAGCATATTCAATTATGCGGCACGAGGTGGAGCATCATCGGTGTCTAAGCCAAAAACTTCAAAATACTAAAAACTGCGTCTCCCTCAACTGGAATCCGAATAAGACAAATCAAACAATACAACAAAATAATATAAAAACAATCAGCACCCTAAGCCGGCTGGTCACCGTGGGGGAAGAAGACCACAACCCTCCATTGAATAAAACCAATACCAATAATTATAAGAGCAGAAAATCAGAAAATCTAAAATGTGAATCGGAAGAACTACACAACTTGAAAATATGCACCTATAACGTAAGATCACTATCATCAGTGACAAGATTATTAGAATTAGAAAATGCATTAGTCAAAATTAACTGGGACATCATAGGACTCGCCGAAGTTAAACGATTAGGGTACAGTATAGAAGAACATAAAAATTATATTTTCTGTTATATTGGCGAGACATTGGGACTCCATGGCGTAAGTTTCTTAATAAAGAAAACATTGAAACAAAATATCGTGAGCTTCGTAGGCATATCAGAAAGAGTCGCTTTGTTAAAAATGAGCTTCAACAAGGTATCACTGTCTATTATTCAAGTTTACGCCCCCACTGAGAGCTACAGTGAAGAAGAAATTGAAAGTCTCTACATGGATTTACAAAAAGCGCAAGAACAAGCAGATAAAACCCTACAAGTCATTGGAGACTTAAATGCAAAAATCGGGTACCCGACACATGAAGAACATATGATAATGGGACTGTACGGATACGGTCAACGAAATCCACGAGGGGAACTATTAATTTAATACGCATATAAAAACTAACTATCAGTGATGAACACATATTTCAAGAAGAGGAAATCTCGCAAATGGACCTGGATGTCTCTAGACAACAAGACAAAAAACGAAATCGATTTCATACTAAGTTACAACCCCAAAGTTATCACAAATTTAAAGGTTTTAAACAATATAAATTTCCCAGATTTGGTCAGATGTTCACTGAATCTCCGAACACCAAAAATGAACAGGAAATCTTTTAAAGCCCCAAATAACATGCTAAAGACATCTAAAGAAAAACAAACTTATCTAGAAAAGCTAAAGAAAATACAACAACATTAAAAGAAACAATGAAGAACACAGAAAATGTACAAACTCTGAGCAACGAGCTGTAAAAAAACCATCATAAATAGTCTAGAACAGGATAGAGTATTAAAAACCAGTAACGAAAAACCAAAAATTATTACCGAACTAACACAAGAACTGATTTCTAAACGTACAGAACTCCTATCTATGAGAGAAAAATCTAAAGAAATGAGACACTTATTAAAAGAACTATATAAGAAGACAAACAAAGCAATCAGGCAAGATTACGAAAGACATAGAAGAATAATCATAGAGCCTTTAAAGAGCTGTCAACGCATAGAAACTGGATACAAGGATACAAAATGGAAAAGAGGAAACAAGAAACAGAGAAGACACAGTAAAGCGCGCAACAGCTTTCTTCTCAGAGCTTTACAGAAGAACATCCCAAGATGAAACTCAAAAGGATGAACAATTGGAAATTAAACATCCCAACTAGAAGAAAAAACTTTGACTCCGATAACCGAAGGGGAGATAGAAAGACATATAAAAAGACTTAAGTCTGAAAAAAGCCCGGGACCAGATAAAATCACAAATGAAGCTCTAAAACTTGGGTCATCTATTCAAGTAAACTACCTGACGAAACTATTCAACTCAATCATACAACAAGAACAACTTCCAAAACAATGGTGCAGTTCAAACATAATACTGCTCTATAAAAAAGGAAATCCACTTGATATAAACAATTATAGACCAATTAGTCTACTATCTTCAACCTATAAACTGTTCTCTTCAATAATCCTAAGTAGAATAGCCCCAGACATAGACAGAAACCAACCAATAGAACAAGCAGGCTTCCGACCACACTACTCAACAATGGATCACATACACGCTATGGAACAAATAATAGAAATAGTGTAAGGTTATAAGATAAAATAAAAAAAAAAATAAAAATAAAATAAAACTGCGTTTTATTGTTCTTAGTGTTGAGATAATTTATTTTCCAAGATTATTATTGAATTAAATAGTTTATTTACGCCTACAAATATAAGTTAAAAAAGTTACAGCCTATATACACGTCCCACTACTGGGCACAGGCCTCCTCTGATTTCTGAGAGGATTTTAGGGCAAGGAAAGGTCCGCCGCGCTGCTCTGATGCGTGAAATTTTTTTTTCATATTTGTCAGACATGCAGGTTTCCTTCACCGCCGAGCACGTGGTAAATCAGCACTTAAATCGCAATTAACAATTTAATTGGTACCGGCGGGGATCGAACCCGGATTTCTCGCGTAATGTGAAACTTACAGCGAGTGCTAACCATCTGAGTTACCACGGCTCATTTTACAAACATAACTTTTATTTTTATAACATAATCGTAAAATACTGGTATTCAATTGAATCCGGTTTGACTGGGAGCCGACCCCAATATAGTTGAGAAAAAGGCTAGGCAGATGATGAATCGTACATAATATATATCCTAGCAGGTGGCGTTCTGTAGTTCTGCCTACCCATACAGAAAAAAGGAAAACATTTTTTTCATTCACGCCATCTAGTGTGCAATTTTCGTAAATGTAGGGACTAAGAATTCACCCACGTGAGTGTGTGTAAACGACACTATATTCAATGACAGATGTTATTTTTGAACTTTGTGTTGAATTGTGCGGATTTTGAGGCAATGATATGACATAGTAAAATAAAGTATAATGTCCTCGTATCGCAATTGCTACTTCTACGACTTAATAATGTTCCAATTACACAAAAACCCAAATAAACTAAAAAATTATGACTTCAGCGCCATCTCGCGGGAATATGGCCGGGAACAGACCGTATGTTTCACCTTAAGATTTTTTATATGACACAGGGTCGTCAGAGAAGGCAGAACAACGTCTGCCTGGCCAGCTAGTACTTATATATATTATATTATTATTATACTATTTATAATTCATATACGATTATTTTAAGTGTAGTAATTTGGGGAATAATTTTTCATTTATTTAATAATTATTTAATATTTTTTTATTAAAGCCGTCTTTAAAGAACTAGAACAATAAAATAATTGTTCATTATGAAGTTGAGGTTTTAATTGTTTAATCCACTGTTTTAGCACCAACTTCAGGATGTGAAATTATGTTATTCTTTTTAGTTCTTTGAAATCGGCTTTCTTTTTTTATTAAAAGTTAATTTTCCTTTTTGTCAAACTTAACGAGTTTGACAAAAAGGAAAATTAACTTTTTTTTTATTTTTTAATTTGCTGCATCTCTTTCTTTCCTGCTTCCTCTCTTTTCTCTATGTTTTCTTCGATTGTGTTCTTATTAAAATTATCGTGGCGTCTACAGTTTACACCATTAACATTAAACATTGTTGGAATCAGCGCATCGTTTGGCACGGTCGAGCTCCAAAACGAAGTGCGAAAGAGTATATAACCATTAGTGTTTATAAACTAATAAGAAGAACTATAGTTCACAACGGTCCATTGACTTCACAATTATGTTGCATGCACATTTCTATGCCACTTGAATCTACTAATACCGTGATCAAAAAATAATACTATATGATGCCACTTCAATGCAAAATTAGTATAAAAAGGAGTGTTGGCCGCGAGTGGAGCTGGCGAAAGCAGCGGAGGGGTATTTATTTGGTGAATAACGTGATTTTTTTAACATATATATATATAAATGATTACACAGAGGTTTAAAGAGAATGTCCAACAAATGTCTTCTATTCTAAAAAAGTTTCTTAGTTTGATATAATTCTTACAATAGAATAGTCCCTTAGCTTAGAGTTCGTCAACTAGTCGGATAGGCAAACAGTCAACTCATACACTCCACTTCAGTTTTATAGTCCACTTGCTCTCCTCGTTCTTCTCGCAGACATAAAACATACACCGGAGACAGTCAGCAGCATCAAAGGTGCTTTATATCTGGTACTGTGATTATCAATCTAATTGTCAAATGTGTTGATTGATGCTAAAAAAGGAATGGTCTATGTCCAGCAGTGGACTTCTACAGGCTGACGATGAAGCTGAAGAACAATATCTAATATTCTATTACTAGCTAAACTCACCAGTAGCCCTGTATACTGTAGAGTAGCGATTGCGGGAAGTACTTCACACACATCGCCATGATGGCGACTGCCGCCGACGCTTCTTGATACTGACTGCTGAAGAATATTATTAAAACACCAACAGCCTGGAAACATAGAACAATATGTGTAGGTATGAAGTAAAGTAATAACTATTAAATAGTAAGTCTATTCTCTCATGCTGCAACCAAATGGCAATATAAACTAAGTTATAGTACATATTTTGACCGTGGAAGGAAAAGGGGAGATCTCGCACCGGGCAAGATGTTCAGCCCGGAGAGCGGCCAACGCTTCGTGTGTTATTTCGGAGCTTTTCTATATATAGGGCGTTAACTTCAGAACTTTGATACCGCGATTTAAAAATATATAGCGCGAAAGTTAATATTAAAAGGTAGACCGAGACTAACTTTCGAAGACCATGTGAGCAAATTGCTCGAAGAGGGTAGGGTCAAGAGTACTCGGATACCTAGACGTGTATGCATGAAGAAGATAATGAATCTGAAAGAAGCGAAATAGGTTTGTAAGTATCGTGACACTTGGCGATCTGTTCTCTCTGGCTACCCCGTCAGGTATTGTGCGTGAAGATAAGTGCGATTTAACCTTCGGTAGCATTCGCTTGTGGCGCAACGACAGCGCCGTCACATAACGCCCCTATTCAGACCGGAGGTCGATAGTGCAGTCTAGATGTCGACGAATGTGCAAGTGCCAGAGAATTGCCAGGTAGTCTGCGGTGCGTCGAGAAGAAGGCAAGTAATCTGCGAGTATCGTGAAGCAGAAGCGAGCAGTAGGCTCAAATCCGTGCTGAATACTGTAGCGCAGAGAGTAGCTTGAAGGAACAGGAAGCATTATTCCAGTGCTGCGATGAACCTTGTGAAGCTAGATGGCTTTACAAGATTTGAAGACAATGCTCCTAAGTGAATAGTAGGGGTTCTTGAGGATAATGACGAAGGCTTGGGAGTTGTGGTTTCCAAAGGTTGTTGGTTGTGTGTTCACATCACGTCGGGGTTCACGTCACGATCAGTTTGGCCGTGAAATTAAAAGGGGAGATCTCCCGGCGGGCAAGGGGAGCGGTCAACGCTCCGTTTGTTATTTTATATATAGCACGTTAACTTCACAACTTTGATAACGCAATTTAGGCTTCGGTATGTTTCGCTTTTGGCGCGACGGTATTAAGTCTTGCATTTTTTGAAATGCGTGTACGTAAATATTTTTGGAATCCAGATAACAGACCAAGCAAAGGGCTAACCAAGTTGATGATCGCAACTGGGGATCAATGAAAATAGCTTCGAAAATGCAGTTACAACACAAGGATATTTGAGCATTGTTTACGCTTACTGAAAGTAGAAGTATTCTATTTAATTTCCAACGTACGCACAGACTTTAATCTGCACTTCCAATGTATGTGGACTTGGGCGGATGCACGACGACACGACTTTTTCAAATCGCGACAACGAACTTGAATGGCGTATGCTGTCCCTCCATCTCTTTCATACTGGCTTTTTGAGTAACAAACGGGCACACAGTCCACTTGGTAAGTGGATGCTGTGGCCAATAGACACCTACATCTATCTTCTATGATGAATCTAAATGCGTTGTCATCCCTGAGGACTAAGATGGAATACTACGATTTTTGTCACGAAACATATATTTTATAAGCGATAGCTGTAGCTATATTATGGTCTTGGCACGAATAGGTCGACTCGACCGGGGAAGGACCACGTTACTCACACAAAATACCAACATAAACTGTTTTGTTTATTACGGTAAAAGTAAAGAATCGGAGACGCTTTTTTCTAGAAATGAGGCATTCCATCTTAGTACTCAGTGGACTGTGAGCTCGTTTGTCAACCTTATTCTATAGAAAAAAATATACAAAACAGCCGCATTAGCCTTACAACAACATTAGCAGCAATTAACATAGTTCAATACAGATAATTTATACGAGACTAGCATTTTCTTGTGCCTTTGTACCTTTGCACTTCGTGTGGACTTCGTTTTAACCAAATCATTTTGCTCCATGACAAAATTCAGGATCACCTCCTTGTCTGTCAGTGTATCTATCGTCTTTTAGCTACTTTATAATAATACGTTAATTCCGTATTTTATTTACAGTGTAACTTTTAAATTTATTAACAATTCGACCACAGCACCATCTACCATCATTTTGTGATTTTCTTTTTTGGCACTAAAACTTTTTGTAGTGTGAATTAATGTGGTTAGTAAATATAGAATTTGTTACTTGACTAGAGTACCGCCTACCCATAACCATCGTCTCGACGAAACTATTATTTCGTTATTACAGACAGACACTCCAATATTATTTTTATGTATAGATAGATGTATCAAGATTATTTAAATACCTGTAGTGTCCACATGACGAGATTCTTGCTTCGCTGATTTTTCGGCGGACCGATTCTGTAGCACACCACGAAACTAATAAAGCTGACCAACAACGTGTACCAGAAGATATATGTTTGGTAAGAAACCACTATACTCCGTATATTCTCCCAGATCTGTTGCAACAAGTACACTCCCACCGTCCATCCTCCGACAAGTAAGCCGTATGTTAGAGTTTTCTGTAACGAAACAACATTTACTTAGGAGAAAAAATAGAAAAGGATAGTAAACGAGGGATTCCCAAAGTGGTCGATATCGACCACTTGGGGTTCAAATCAGTTTCTCAGTTTTCAAACAAAAACTGATTTCGGGGGTTGACGAGGTCTGAAAATGGACCCCTATTAATTAACACAAGTTCTTATTTGAAACTTTCAAGATACTGCATGTTGTGTTACTTGTACCAACTTGTTATAAGAATGACTAATATTTTAGTAGGAAGTATCATTGTTGAACTTTCAAAAAACTCAATAAGTCGATAAGCGCGCACAAGTTCGTACAAGATGAAAAACTCGGCAAGTCAAGCATGGACAAGTTCGTGCAAGATAATGAGTTTGAGCGTACAAATCTTTCAGGCACGTTTTGACTTACTTTGTATTTGACACATATACGCGATTTTACGAAAAACGAAACGAAACGAAAACAAAAAAGAAAAAGAAACTGGAGATTTTTATACGTGGCAGAGCTCATGCTGCAGCTATATTAATAGTATAGTTGTAGCACGAATGGGTCGGCTCGACCGGGGAAGGACAACGCTTTCACAGAATACCAGCTTAATGCTGCTGTGTTTCGTATGGTGAGTGTAAAGAACCGGAGATCCTTTTTACTGGAAAAGAGGCATTCTATCATAGTCCCCACGGCTGACAACGCATCTGCATTTTAATTCGCAAACGAAGATAGATGTAGATGTCTATGTACCACAGCAACCACTTACCATCAGGTGGACTGTGTGCTCGTTTGTCACCCTTATCCTATAAAAAAAGATAGGATTTTTAAAGTAATTTGGCTATGGGGGTCTGAGGTATCAGTTAATTTTGGAAAAGGGTCTGTGGCCCAAAATTGTTTGGGAATCCCTGATTTAAACAATGCACCTATACTGTGCGTTTAAACAATCGAAAAGAAATGTAGATCATATACATTGTTGTAGAGCCACGTTGCAGCTATAATATGGTTGTAGCAGGAATGCGTGGACTCGACCAGGAAACGACCACTCTCTCACAGATCAATGCTGCTGTGTTTTGTATGGTAAATGTAAAGAACCGTATACACTTTTTACTGAAAATTAGGCATTCCATCTTAGTCCTTAGGTATGACAACGCATCTGCATTTTGATTCTTAATCAAGGATAGATGTAGATGTCTATAGACCTCAGCATCCATTTCTTGTTAGGTGGACCGCATGCCACCCCTATTCTATAAAATTATCTTATTTTTATATGCTTAAGTAAAGTCATGAGTTACAATTCGACAGATGGCGGTATAAGAATCCTATAAGCCAGATATATCATATACAGACTGGCCAAAGGAGCGAGACGTGGTGGTAAAGTGGCAATAATGGGAAATTGTCTGTGAGAGAGACCCATGTCCAGTAGCAGATCTTTCATGCCTGACGATTAAGAAGAAAAATTTATGAAATATTTTTCCCGATAAATTACTATGGGCTTAGCCGTAATGGTGAGGAATTGTGAGGAAACTAGCATGTTTGAGAATATATAAATTTTTGTTGAGAATATATAATATTTTGAGGTTATGGGAAGTCCGTCAATACGTAATAATAGTGCAGCGCTGCAAATTCCTTCCCGCTCCATAACCATATCGTATTTTGTTGTACGTATCCATCTAATCTAGTATGTCATACGTAGCCTGTTACCTTCCAGTTTATTATGAAAAGGCATGCCAAGAGGATTATTGGTGACATTTGTTCATAGCCAGTATCAAGCACAGACGCAAAGTAGCCAGGCTTTCGATGTACAATAAGATAATATTCGGAAAATATACACAGGAATTGCAAGACTTAATTTCTCTTGTACCCACCCTCGGATAAACGGACGCTCAGATGGTATCCGCTCCTTTGTTGTCGACATTCCACGTATTCAAACCAAACAGTTTGCTTCATCGTTCACAGTGCGTACAGCAAAAGAGTGGAACAATTTGGCATCTGTCTTACCATTCGATTACAATGTGATGGGCATTCGTTAAGCTAAGTCAATGCATTTACCATTTCCGGCTATATTACGACTTTCCATTAGGTTGGACGAAACTCAAGCACTGGCTTATAATAGTTTAAAAAAATAATTATATTATGATTTATGAAAAAATTATACTGTTAACAAGACATTACTAGATAATTCTGCAATAAATCAAAAATAAAATCTAATTAACTAATATGCAATTAAAATTAAAATAAAATTACACTCACCCTTGGCAGTAATTTACTAACATAATAAACAAGTAACATAAAGGAAGCTGACACTCCTACAAGAATTCCGCAAAGATAGAAAAACACTGGATTTCCACTCAGTGCTTTAGAAGAAAATATTAAGACCAGACCAAATAGCATTAATAGCACACGCCAAATGTCCACTCCTGTAAAATGAAGAAATAGAGTAAAGTAAGTAAGATATAGGGATAACTCATGGTAACTTTTATTGTAAGAAATTTTGATGTGGACATGCATTTTTTCATTAACCGTTTTATATAAAAATTGTAGGTTGTAATTTTAATTATAATATGTTAAATATGTATTGGAATAATAATTTCAAAATTATCGGTAAATAATCCATAGGGGTATATCGAGATGGTATACTTTAAATTCAGATATCTACACTTGTTAACAATACTGTTCTATTAAATAAAGTGGGTGATAGTTTTATGCACAAGTCCCATGTGTCTAATTTTAAATATGTCAAAAATTAAATTTTCCATCATGGCCCATAGTCATTGTAAATGTTAATTATAGGGTATAAGCAAAACAATCTTTTGATATTTAGCTCAAAAATGATTTAACTAAAATATACACATGTGAAAAGGGATTCACTTATGTAACTCTGGTGCATGTCCAGGAGTTGACAAATAAAGTAATAAAACATATTTTTAAAATGTTACACTACCATTTTCTCATGTATCATGGAAGCAGTTTACAAACATAAATGGCACAAGGACAAACATTCAGACCCGGAACAATATTTGTTGACTAAAAAAATACTTGTTCCATGCGGAATGCGAACTAGTCCATTCTACCCGAACCATTTAATATAAGTATTTCTGTCTCATTGGTCATGTGGCTATAAGCGCGACTGCTTATATGGTACCGGGTTTGAATGCCAGGTCATTCTAAAATCAGTTATTGGGATTGTCAAGAAATTCTCAGTAGGAGCCTGGAGTCTGAAAGTTAGGGGTTTTACACCCAAGTGCTTCAGAAAGCACATAAAGCCAATAGTCCTGTGCTTGATCTCTCTCCAGGTCATATTTGACTGCCATCCCGTCGGACTATGAGAGTGAGGGAATAGAGAGTACATATGTGCTGGCACATCGCTCGTCCACTATAATCCTACCAGCATAGATGGCTAGTTTCTGTCGAGAAAAATTCGCTCTAGAAGACGTTATTATAATTATTTCTATTGGTTTTTTACATACACATTATTATTAGTGGGGAGTCTAGGTACTCTTTAAGGTCAGAGCGAATGCGAATTTTCTAAGCTAACATGTTTACCCTCTAGGTCCAAGTCATTTTTTGTAATTAGCTCATTATAGTAATTGGCTTATTAACTATAAAAAGCATCAAAAGCAGTGTAAAATGCTCACTTTGTATTTGTAGCTCAATACTGTGGCGATGTTTTGTATCAATGGCCATACATGTTGGAGAATAGAGATCTATGGAGACTGTCTTATATGATTTCTTCTGGAACGGATTAACAACAGGCCAGCGATAGCTATTCTCTGTGAAGTCTTTGTAAACCTCCTCGGGAGTGCTTCCAAGGTACTGATTAAACTCTTCATTTTTGATTTTTATATTGAACTGGCAAAAAAAAAATGGTTAAGACATGGATAGTTTTGTTTCAAAAAAAATCTCTGAAACAGTGATAAAACCTTAACTATTGCATGCCTTAAGCGCAAAGTGGTTAGCTATGTTATACTATCGTCTAAAAATCAAGATTCCAACGTTTTGTCACATGAAATTGAATTAAATAATTATATTGAACATATAAATAATATAAAAAGCACACTGTCAGAAAGATAAATGATTGTTGAACTTATTATTTTTTGTAAATCGAACAGTTGCTATTTTTACATAAAAAAGTGGTTTTAGTGTCTTATGGTGTGGATCTATCAAGTCCGCATGGCGGTGTAAACACTAACTTTTGAAAATATCAATTGTTCAACTTAATCTATTTTTTTTAAACTTCAACTATCATGTGGGAAGTAAATAGCAGGTTAATTATGTTTTGTTTAATTATAATTTTTTTCGGCTGTGAAATAGCAAAATTTTCCTGGAACTCATAGACGAGTAGAACTAGCTGTGCCGAGATTGTGCTCGTTATGTCAGTTATGATGAGACCTTACCACGACTTGAAGGTGTACTTTGGTGAATGCTATTTGAACTCCTCGAAGAGTAGTAATAGTAATAAATGTGCGGAGTTTGGGCTCGTTTTGTTAGTTATGATGAGACCTTACCCCCGAACAGTGGCGGATTATCGTTAAGGCAAACTAGGCACGTGCCTAGGGGCGCAAGGTTAAAGGCACGCGCGGAACTTTTTAAACAAACAAAAAATCGTCGTATTTGATTACTCCGAAATCACTCTTACTCTCTCATCACATTTTTGATCCCCCCCCCCCCCCCCCCCTGTTAATGGTACTCGTATCTTAATTATTTTGCAATTATTAAACTATATTATAAATTATAATATAGTTTATTTGCAAAATGAGAATATTTAATTTATAATAGATATAATATGGTCCCTAGAGGGGCGCCGATGAGGTGCTAGACTAGCCTAGGGCGCAATCGACATTTAATCCGCCTCTGCCTCCGAACTTGACAGACTGACCTGAAAGTGTACTTTGATGAATGCTACTGGAACTCCTCGAAGAGTGGAACTAGGTGTGCCGAGTTTGACCTCGTTTTGTTAAGTATCATGAGACTTTACCTCTGGACTTGATAGAGTGACTTGAAGGTGCACTTAGGTGATTGCTACTGGAACTGTTTGACGAATAGAACTACAATTTACATTTTTTTCCATTTTTCACTATTATATGAGCATTATGAGTTGAGCACTTTTGGATTTTCTAAACTTTTTTTTAAATTAGTTTACAAAAATTTATCGGAAAATTGGAAGTATAGTAATAAGGTTAGTAGTGAAAACTTGTGTGTTTAAACTACTTTTAAACTTAAAAAATTTATACATAATTTTTAATGCACTTAAGGCATGCACAATTGGAATTACCAATAGTTTTTATCTTATTATGTATTAAATGCATTTTAATAACAATTCAAAATTGAGTTTGTGGTTATGCCTATTTATAGCAAAGTCTATCTAATAACAAAGTTTGCATAAAATGCATATCTAATAAGATGATTTTTTGCAAGCTCAATTTCAAGCTGTTACTTTACATTTGGAACATCAATAAAGAAAGAAAAGTATACATGACAATTTGGTGAGTTTAATAACAACTAATTAGCCAAAATCACTATAGTAACTAAAATACATTCAATTTGCAATTAAATGTGAATCCTCTGGACTGAAATTGCCATAAATGATAAAAAAATAGTTATGTACACTTACTTTTACTGTTTGCCATAAGGTAAACAGATTTTTTGAATTTCCACTGTAGCAATATATGTCCACAGTTTGCTTTGTTGGATGAATTTCCCGTTCAATTGTTGTAGGGCCTCCCAACCAGTGCACTGAAGAAATACATTAAATTGATAACCTCTGAATTAATTTTAAGATCCCTTTATAGCAATCACTCTTGGCTACACTCAATTTAGAGTTCTGTATGCCACATTCAATGTGAACACATGGAAGGGCCACACTTCAACTATATTATGGCTGTAGCACCAATATGTCAACTCGACGATGGAGGGACCATGCTCTCACAGAATACTAGTATCAAAAATAGCAGCTTAATGCTGCCATATTTTGTATGGTGAGTGTAGAGAACCAAAGACCCTTTTTACTGAGACACTGCATTCCATCTTAATCAACCTGCATTTTAATTTTTATTCAAAGACAGCATATATGTCTACGTGCCACAGTATCCACTTACCATCAGGTGGACTGTGTGCTCGTTTGTCACCCTATCTATATAGCAGAGTGTGATAGTCAAAGAGCAAAAGTGAATATGGAATGCAGAACTCTGAACTCAGAACGCTAGACCACTTGCTATGGGTTAGCACCTAATGTAATCATGAAGTGCAAGCTACACACTAGATATAGAAACTTCTCTAGTGCTATTATTTTGGTTTAATTTATATGCAGAACTTACTTTCTGAAAATTCGTGTCATTGCAATCTCTGAACTCAGAACGCTAGACCACTTGCTATGGGTTAGCACCTAATGTAATCATGAAGTGCAAGCTACACACTAGATATAGAAACTTCTCTAGTGCTACTATTTTGGTTTAATTTATATGCAGAACTTACTTTCTGAAAATTCGTGTCATTGCAATTGCCATGTGCATAGCATAATCGATTTCTAACCTGGTTCAGCAATGCCCTTTTTGGACTTTTGGTAAGCCGTTGATAATACATTTTATCACCTTGTTTCATTTAAGTTCAAAAATTTCTAACAACAAAATAAGTATGAATAATATTTTTACTGAAATATTATTGATTTTCTTTGAAACAAAGAAATATATATTTTGTAAAACAATCTTACCATCGTATGCTAATGTGTTTACTCCACAAACAAAAACAAATAACAACAAACAGCTTTGATAATTCACGAATTTTTCCATGGTCCAAACTTATATCCTAAACATAAAACAATTGTTTAATAAGTTACACATAAAATGAATTATTTTGTCGATACATATTCGACAATAAAAGAAAGAATATAATTTTTGTTTTTATCACACAACACGTCGTGAAAAAACTTATTATAAATTATAATTCGTAAATTTCAAGAATTATAATTTTTTTAACTGGCTTTACGGCTCTGGGTGCTAGCCCTTCTGAACCTACACAAACAATAATTATATTTAAATTGATAGATAAATAAACATGTAGTGTAGCTAGCTAGTAGGTACAGATTACAGATATAACAGTGGCTTTTAGTCAATTTTCCTAAATACGCGTTTTGGCAATGCAGTCGTCCATTTTGACAGATGAATAATGGTTTTACTGTATAGCTATCAGGTGGTTATATTCTCTTTGGCTATCAGCGTTAATCGATGTCGAATTCCCGTAGAGAGAGTATGTACAATAGAGTAGTCCTTGCCGTATACCTAAGCGGGATAGCAATAGTTTAAGGTTAGTGTTGCCGATGATTCTCTATTTTTATTTTCTTGATTTTTGGGAAAAGTAAATTCTGTTTACTAATTATAGGTAGAATCAATACACAGTGTGTCAAAAATATGTAAATAATTCATTAACCTCCTAAGATATATCTTATTAGGTTAATAGCAGTTCATTAACTTCCTAATATATATATTAAAAGGTTAATGTACTAAATTGAAAAATAAAACGAATTTTTTATTATATTTTAAATCACTTTATTCTGCGTTTTGTCTTTTCCTTGTTATTATAATCAGTTTTTTTTTATATAATGTTTTGCTATGTATAACAGATTACACAAAAACACACAAAAACTATAATATACTTGAAATTAAATAGTTTAAGAAACTTACCTTTGAATATATTAAAATCGGTAGATAATATATTCAAAGGTGTATTCTGTTGTTTCATTCGAAATTGAATACATATCCACAGATATGTATTCAATTTTGAATCAAAACAACAGAAATAATACAAAATATTTATGTGAATATTATTTAAATAAAACAAATAATTGAAACAGCACTAGGAAAATGTTTGTAATTATTTAGTTTTCGGTTTGGTAACGCATGCTTGAAAACTAAAGGATTCTAAGTAAATATTTTTTCATCCCGTTCAGTCTATAACCCTAAAAAAGAACGGGCAAGAAACTTTAGGGAACTGTTTACAATCAGCTAAACTTACATACGATTACATGTTTATTATTGCAAACATTTATAATTTTTACGAACAAACGAAAAGCGGTGAAGTCAGCAACAGCCTTTTCAGAATTATAATCGGGCAGCCATTTTGTCACCTTTTATACATGAGACGTTTGTACCACGTCTGTTTCTTGAAACGGTGCTTGGACGGAGAGGACATTATTTATTGATTCTTACCTGAGAATAAAGAGACAATTAATAAATACTCAATGTAAATAAAAATATTTTTGTATAATACTAGCGATCCATCCCGGATTCGCACGGGTGATTTCTGGATCTCGACAACAGCCCCAGCTAGTGGGTCCAATTGTGTTTCTCTTCTAAATTATCCAGGGACTCACTCCTACGCACACAAAAAAAATTATTAAAATCGTTCGAGGCGTTTTCAAGATTTAACGAGACTAACGGACAGAAATTGATTTATATATATAGAGATTAAAGTGACAAACGAGTTCGCATGGTAAAAAGTTACTGCAACCAAGTACAAACAAAAGGAAATTCTTGTGCATAGTCGTCTCTGAGAAAGAATGAAGATGAAATACGAGTATGTACACATGTAATTATAACTACTGTCTCTTCCTTCAAACTGAAAAATACCACTGGAAGCATGACCGCTTGGTGACAGAAAGGGGTGAGAGGGTAGTACATATTTAAAATAAAAATGGGGGTCATTTTACAATTTACGATGTACTATATTCATTTTTATAGCTGTAGCTTTTAATTAAGATATAAGACTACATAAGTTTATAGCATTGCTATTGAATGTTTCTCAAAAAGATATATGATGCCCAATGTCAGCCTCATACATAATTTTCAACTAAGCGTACTTGTATCATAATGTATGTATTATTATATTACCTCAAGTCCTGATTCGACGAAAAAAAAAATTGAGCATGTAGAAAAAATATCCCTATCAAATTCAAAATTACAACAATAGTTAAAAACACAAATTCAAAATCAAAATAGGTTACTCACTGGAATAAAAAGTGTTGGAATCGCATTCGGCAACAAATATGTCCTCTTGTGCGTTTTACGAAAATTACGCGACTCAAAATGTTTCGGACATATGCGGTCATTCTTCTCAGGTTGCCATTCCTTTCTCTCAGCAGCTACAATCCACATATTTATAATGTTTGCTTCTTTAGGAAATCTAAAATAAATAAATTATATTGGTAATTAAATTAAGGTTAAAATATTTGTTCAGAGTCGTTAAGAAATTAAGGAATTTTTTTGCCAAGCACTGGTATCCCTGTAGTGATTATACAGCAAATTTGAAACGACAAAAAATAAATGGCTAGCTTTAAATAAAAGAACGCTTTTTAATTTTGTCGTATTAAACGAAAAAAGTTGTAGGTGATTTTAGTAATTTATTGTATATTTTCTGATAAGTATACACTAGAGATAATGAAAATTAATCAGCTAATCGATTTCTATAGGCAATTTTACTTTAACTGATGAAAAGTTATGTTTGGTATTTTTCGTTCTGGTCGGTTTTTACAACCTAACACACAACAACGTACCATAATTTCACATAAACTCTGTCTAAAACAAAAAAAACCTTTAAACGTTACGTAACTCAAACGTCAATAATTTAAAAAATTGTTTGACTCGCTCGCTCTTAACGTAACACAGATAAGTGTTTTTCTCACAGGCATTTCCTGTCATTTTAGTGACGCCTCTATAGTTCATTCTCTCTCTATGCAAATTCCCCAATTTAAGGACAAAACTTCAACAGATTACACACAAATTCCGCACTATTTTCCTTGGGCTATGTGCGAATATATAAATAATTACTATACTCTTTGAGCTAAGTCTAATCCTAACCGATTCGTTGCGGCACCAATTTTCGACAACTTTTAGCTGTGGCGGCGAACAAATATTTCATGACACGCCTATTGTGCGATCAGCCATGTGTATGTCTTTTTTATGATTTTTTCACTTATTTAGACCTAATTAAGTTTAGTTAACATCAAACATCAGTTACAAACGGAATGATATGAAATTGAGAGTAAGTGACTTTTTTTATGCAGAGATTACAAACATTTTGTACTATTTTTTGTTTTATAAAAAAATCATTTATATAAGTAGGTACAGCTAAATCACTCTAGAAAACCTTGGTTTTTATTAAATTAAATTTTCACCTAATAATAATATCTGTAAATATCAAACAATCAAGAACCTTAATTTGGAAAAAAACAAGGTTTATGATTCATTAATATTTACAAATGTAAAATTTTATTTAATGTTATACAAATGTAAAAGTAAAGTCGATTTGAAACGTCTAATTAGTAAGAACAGCAAAACAAGTGTTTTCAAAAGGAAACAAACGCCGGCGCTATACGGCCGCGGATTGACAAAAGACTATTTATTAGCGAACTTTTTTTAGGCATGAACGATTTCAAACTGTTTCAAGCAAAAATAAACCTTATACCATATCACAAGAGCACATGGTACTTCGTAGGTCTATTCGGCCATATGATAGTAATAAGACGCTCAACCATTTAAGCAAAATTAAACAATAAGACAAACGCATTATTTTTTTTATAACGCGAGACTTGTTTTCCAGAAATTTATTTACAACTTGAGTTTGTGAGCGATCGCAATGAGTGCTATTATTTGTTACTTATTAGACAATTTTTCCACAACATGATTGAATATCCACAAAGTGAAAAGAATACCATTTACAAGTGCAAAATAATGAATATTTTATTCTGGATAAATTTTCCAAAAACGCAATTTGAGCGAGTTATAACGATTTTTAAAAAGACACGACTCGTGTGTCATACGCCACACACAAAAGTAATCGATGGCACGCCTGGCGTGCCATCCACACTGAACCGGTTATCCGACAAATCGAATCTAACTCTGCTAGGATGCATTGGGACAAATCTTCTTGCTCGATATTCTTCAGTCTTATAAGACGACCAGTATACGAGCAGTGCTTGTTGTCGGTGATGACTTACGTAACCGCAATGTGGTCTTTTACTATCGACCGTAAGAGGATTTGCTGCCTAAAGGTCCCACTGAGTTGGAAATACCCTCTCAACTATCTCTGCAATCAAGTAGCAGGGCCAGCACTGCTGTGTTCCAGTCTGAAGGTTCTAGAGAGCCAGTATAATAACAGGCTATGAGACATTTCATCTTAGAGCTCAAAGGTCAACGCATCTGTGGCCTTATCTATGTATTTGAAGTTGGTTTCAAGTGTCCATGGGCTGCAGTAGCCACTTACTAGCAATAAGACTGTAAGTTTGTGTGTCACTTCAGTTGTATAAAAAGTCAGGAGACGGAGATTTGGAGCTTGGCTGCGTAATTGTAATTAGATAATAAATACTTGTTACTACTACTACTACTTAGTACTTGAGCGGGAAAAAATCTAGAGAACCGAGAGAACTATATCCGCGACGACCAGTCGTGGATATATCTTTATATATAAAAATTACGTGTCACATTGTTTGTCCGCGATGAACTCCTAAACTATTGAACTGATTTCAATGAAATTTTGTACACTGTGTGAAGTTTGGTCCAACTTGAGAGATTGGATACTTTTTATCCCGATAAGTGACCTACAATATTTTTTTATTGCGAATTTAAGGATTTTTTCATAGGAAGGGTCGTCGGCTCGTCGGAAAGAGCAGAACAACGTCTGCCTGGCCAGCTAGTAATAATATATATTAGTCTGTGTCCTGGATTATCAAAAGTACCCTGTGTTTAGTTCGCGATCTCTATGCATATGCAGCTCTTGACACAATTAAACAATCAACAAAAAGAGAATGACATTAGGATCATTTATCAGATTCAGGCGCTTTTGATGCTACCTCTGCTTTAAACGAGTTACAACGTGTAGTATTCATGAACAACAGAATAATTATAGAAAACGTGATCAAAGAAAACTTCATATGCGTTTAATCTTATATTTATTTGGTAAAGCATAACACAAACAATGATCATGTACTATAAGGCATTATCAAGGCACTCCTTAACTCTGTACTTTATTACATTGTACTTTCACAATTATTTATATTATATATAATCATTAAAAACAAGGCGAAATCGAAAAAGTGTATATATAAAGGAATGTACAGACGAATACTGTGAAATAGAAAATACTGTAGTATTTGGAATACTGATAATAGAAACGCCGAGACAAATACTCAGTCTATTACATGATGGAATGCTTTAAATATTTCATTTTTAAATAGAATTCAACTAGAACCACGCTAAACATCACAGTTCAATTTTACAACAAAAAGGAATTCATTAAAACTAACTGTATATTAATCTATTAATGTATATATAGCTATTTTAAATATTTTTTTTCTATCCAGCACCCTACCATACTACATAATCAGGTGATCATTATAGTGTAAGTTATCTACATAAAACAATATTGTATACTCTTTATATTGATCACATAAAATCGTTACATTGTGGTGAAATATCATCAAATACCATGCAAATTGCACATATTATATCTATGAACCTCTGAAGGCACATTTGAAAGCACTTAGTTCTTTTTAAATAAATGTAAATAAATAGAGTTAAAACTCGTATATATATAAACTTTTTGCTATTCTTCATTTCCGTTAGGATTGCTGTTGCATTCTGTAAAAAAAAATATTCATAAATTAGTAATTGAACAAACAAAAACAGACCATCGGGTCTTGGTAATTTCTTAAGCTTAAGAATGGTAATATGAACATTTTTTTAGTTGAATTTTACGATAAAAAACTTCTTTATATTTTACTAGCTTTTGGCGGCGGCTTCGTCCGCGTAGATATTATACTTTAAAGCTTTAAACCATAGGTGATCCATCAATAATCACACTTTCATAGTAAAAAATTCCTTCAAACTCTTTAGGGATGATTTCCGTGATCAATGCTATCCTATTTCCTTCCTCGGGACTTAAACTATCTAGATACAAAAGGACAATGGCAGAAAAATAGTTGACAAAAATTATTGCGTCTAGATATAAGTTACATATAAAATGAGTTTTATTATTTTTCTATGATTTATCAAATAAAAATGTATTTTAATTAAAGCCACAGAAAAAACAAACATTTTTGGGAATATCAAATGACTTTAATTATTTTACTCCATTCAAGTGTTGCCATTTACTATATTCATACTATTTTCGTATACACTTTGTAAGACTACCAATACAACACACAAACACAAATTATTTTTATATTAAGTTATTATTAGTAATAACTATACCATCAGTAATAATAAGAATAAAAGTGATAAGGTTGAAAATAAATCTCTTACAAAGAACTTCTTAGAATAATACATTATCTCAATCATAGTAATATGTAACAATTCCATTTAATGTTATGGCAACACTAGCTAAAACAAAATGTCATTGTTTTTTTTACGGGCTTTTGGCTCTGGGTTCTAGCCCTTCTGGGAATGTCATTGTATGACAAATGCCCTGGAGCCATGCTAGAAATATGCATTTATAGCATGCAAATATATAATAGAGATACAATAATCTAAAAACTCTCAAAAAAAGGTACATTATGTTGATAATGTATTAAGCTAATCAAACAACCACAGGACGCATGACTTTTTTCAAGTGACATAAGACAACCTAAAAAGGTTCAAATCTAATATCTTTTTTTTTTTTACAAAATTCTTTGACAGAGTTATTAAGGGACTGACGCTTAACATTTTAAAATATTTTTGATATAAAGACGCTACCATTCCTTCTCAACTAATTTTATGTATGAAAGTCTGCCATTGTTCTTTTATCTAAATTGGTTCAGTGTTTTAAGCGTGAAGAGGTGCTCACGCGGCGATGAGCGATGTTTTCCCCCACTTCGTCCACAGTACGCCCGACTGCCCTGCGCTCGTCAGACTGCACAATTTTATATCGTCGTTACTTTTAAAATATTTGACCAAATTAAACAGTTTAAAAGTCAAAGTTTATCTATTTTGAATATCAGAAGCGATAAAATCAACTAGTTACTGCAAAATGTGCATTGGAAATAAAGTATCAAATTTTATTGTATTTATGGTTCACTATTTTGGTAATAATGGTTTACACATAAAAGATAGATACATACTGTCGCGGACTTTTTTGTAGAACTATTTTGGAGAAACAATTCCACCATAGATTATATTTGTGTAACTCTTACAGTTTTTGCACCGCACGGAAAAATAGCTCGCAGATGAACTTTTTCCGACTTATATAACACTTATCGTTATATTTTGACCAATTTACACAATTTCTTTATTAATTATTATATATTATTGTAAAGTTTTATTAAAATATATTCAATAGTAGTTTTTGCGAGGAAGAGTAACAAATATCCATACATCCTCACAAGCTTCCACGTTTATAATATTAGTAGGATCACTCATTAGTATGTTAACAATGAATAAGCTTTCGTAGATTGGTTAATTCTTGAATTTGGTAAATGGTGAATCACAGTGATAAGATTTGCTATCGATATCGCTGTAGAAGTTGAGCAATTGGTGATGATGGTGGTGTTTGTGTTGATAATAATGTTCGCGCTTATGGGTTGTCCATGGTGGTGATGAGGAAGACGATACTGTGACGTTTTGTATGTGGCACAGCCCGCTGCAGTTGTATGGTTGCATTACGAATAGGTCGGCTTGACAGGGGAATAAGAAATAACAACGCTCGCATAGAGCAAGATGCAAGAGAGAAATAGCACCATAATACTGCTGTCTTTCGTACGACGATTGTAGAACATCGCGGACCCTTTTTACTAATAACGAGGCATTTCATCTTAGTTCTCTCGGGTGACGTATCTGCATTTTGATTCTAATTTGAGGATAGATGTAGATGTCTCTGGGCTACAGTATCGATTTACCCGTAGGTGGACTGTGTACTCGTTTGTCATCCTTAAAGAGTTCCGAAACGGTCAAGCGGTTTGAAGCAAGTATATAGATAGAGTTGGCCATGAATCTCGATCTTCTTGGCGCCTGACACGCGAGTAAAGTATGAGCTCACTTTTTATAAACATTTATATAAAACTTGTGTGTGTAAATGGGAACGCAAATGTTACCTCTCAGATTTACTACATAATTTTGCAATAAATGTGATGGGCCGCTTAACGTTTCCTTTGTTGTGCGTTGAAAAACCGACATGAATAGTGAAGTGCAAATATGTGTTGTAAGTTTGCACATATCCGTGACTGCTTGTATCACGCTTGGCCTTTGAAGCTGGTAAGTAGGAAAGTGTGGTGGCGGCTCAATGTAAGGTAGCGGGTGGTGGTGGTACCTGTCGAGCGGGCGGTAGGGCGGTCCGTGGTGGCGCGCCCACTCGCGCTCGAATTCGTGCTGCAGGATCTCGGCGCCGCGCTTGCGCGTCAGCCCCGTCTCCTCCAGGCTCAGCTCGCACATCTGCATGTCGTCCACGCCTGCAATAAACCATTACATATAATAATATTCTTTAGAACGAACTTCTGTTACGGTGGCCAGTCTCAACGGAGACTAGCCTACTAGTACCAATGAATTCTTATAGATATTTATGTGAATAATATACATTAAATGGAACTATTTTTACAGATTTTATCGTGTTAAACTTAGCTTTTAATTCCCGACGTTTCGGGTGCTTAACAATATATAGTCACGGGGGACTGAGGTGTTTGACATACAGATGTTATAGTTAGTCCGACTAACTTCAGTTTTTGAATATTAAGTTTTGGTCCAATCTACGCAGAATGAACTTACTGTATCTTGAAGTCTTGCAGTGGTGTGCTTGGGTGTGGATATAATTTTATTAATTATCCATCATCCATCCATCATCTCCAAGCAACCGCTTGCTTGGAGATGATGGATGGGTGTTAGTACCTGGTAACATCCATCCATCTTCTCCAAGGATAAAAAAATAAAAGATAAGGATGTTTATGGTGAAGTATAGCCTGGCGGGGTGTATTGTAGTGTAGTCTTGCGTCGTATAGTGCAGCAGGGAGTGTTGTAGTATAGCGTGACGGAATGTAGTGCAGCATGGTGCCGACCTGCTTGCAGCAGCACGGGCGTCTTGTCGGGGTGCAGCTCCATCAGGCGCGCGACGTAGCGTCCGTCGAAGTGCGCGTACCACCAGCCGCGCCGCTCGCCGCCGCCCGGCCGCACGAACGGGATGCGGAAGTAGCGGTGCAGTGTAATGTGTTCACGTGTAGTGTAGTACTGCGTGTTGCAGTGCAGCGTGGTGCCGACCTGCTTGCAGCAGCACGGGCGTCTTGTCGGGGTGCAGCTCCATCTGGCGCGCGACGTAGCGTCCGTCGAAGTGCGCGTACCACCAGCCGCGCCGCTCGCCGCCGCCCGGCCGCACGAACGGGATGCGGAAGTAGCGGTGCAGTGTAATGTGTTCACGTGTAGTGTAGTACTGCGTGTTGCAGTGCAGCGTGGTGCCGACCTGCTTGCAGCAGCACGGGCGTCTTGTCGGGGTGCAGCTCCATCTGGCGCGCGACGTAGCGTCCGTCGAAGTGCGCGTACCACCAGCCGCGCCGCTCGCCGCCGCCCGGCCGCACGAACGGGATGCGGAAGTAGCGGTGCAGTGTAATGTGTTCACGTGTAGTGTAGTACTGCGTGTTGCAGTGCAGCGTGGTGCCGACCTGCTTGCAGCAGCACGGGCGTCTTGTCGGGGTGCAGCTCCATCTGGCGCGCGACGTAGCGTCCGTCGAAGTGCGCGTACCACCAGCCGCGCCGCTCGCCGCCGCCCGGCCGCACGAACGGGATGCGGAAGTAGCGGTGCAGTGTAATGTGTTCACGTGTAGTGTAGTACTGCGTGTTGCAGTGCAGCGTGGTGCCGACCTGCTTGCAGCAGCACGGGCGTCTTGTCGGGGTGCAGCTCCATCTGGCGCGCGACGTAGCGTCCGTCGAAGTGCGCGTACCACCAGCCGCGCCGCTCGCCGCCGCCCGGCCGCACGAACGGGATGCGGAAGTAGCGGTGCAGTGTAATGTGTTCACGTGTAGTGTAGTACTGCGTGTTGCAGTGCAGCGTGGTGCCGACCTGCTTGCAGCAGCACGGGCGTCTTGTCGGGGTGCAGCTCCATCTGGCGCGCGACGTAGCGTCCGTCGAAGTGCGCGTACCACCAGCCGCGCCGCTCGCCGCCGCCCGGCCGCACGAACGGGATGCGGAAGTAGCGGTGCAGTGTAATGTGTTCACGTGTAGTGTAGTACTGCGTGTTGCAGTGCAGCGTGGTGCCGACCTGCTTGCAGCAGCACGGGCGTCTTGTCGGGGTGCAGCTCCATCTGGCGCGCGACGTAGCGTCCGTCGAAGTGCGCGTACCACCAGCCGCGCCGCTCGCCGCCGCCCGGCCGCACGAACGGGATGCGGAAGTAGCGGTGCAGTGTAATGTGTTCACGTGTAGTGTAGTACTGCGTGTTGCAGTGCAGCGTGGTGCCGACCTGCTTGCAGCAGCACGGGCGTCTTGTCGGGGTGCAGCTCCATCTGGCGCGCGACGTAGCGTCCGTCGAAGTGCGCGTACCACCAGCCGCGCCGCTCGCCGCCGCCCGGCCGCACGAACGGGATGCGGAAGTAGCGGTGCCGCGCGCCCAGCACCTCGCGCCCCGCCACCCGCGGCGCCTTGGCTGCACACACCAACACTCACTTATATTGTCCCCACACCCAATTACGCTCACGGCGACCACTCTCAACGGAAGTATCCATTTGCGCAGGATAACACTATAGCGCCCAAATGTATGCCGCAAGTAAAGTTGCACTCTCTATTCCCTCACTCTCAAAGTTCGATGGGACGGTAATACGACAGGAACAGAGAAAGATCAGACGCAAGACTAACGGCTGTTGTGCTTTCCGAGGCAAGAGAGTAAAACAATGACAACTTCCAGACATTTTGCCTGGCCCCGGGATTCGAATCCGGAAGTTCATGATCACGTTTACGACCACTACACCAAAGGGGCATTTATTTATATTACATACTCTCAAAACTACGTGCTGTTTTTGAGAGTCATTACGAATCGTCTCACACTCAAATTAGACAACTTCCAGCCTCCCGAACTAACCAGTTTCAGAAAAGGCTTTAGTACTATAGACCACATGCATACACTTCGACAACAGAAGACCAGTACAATCTGCCACTTTGCCTTGCGTATGTGGACTATGAGAAAGCCTTTGATTCCGTCGAAATTTAGGCATTGCTACAGTCAGTGGTGCCAAGTTGATTGTCAGTATATCGAATTGCTGAAGTGTTCGTACAGTAGAGCTACGGTACAAAACCTATCCAACTGCAGAAAGGTATAAGACAGTGTAACAAAATGTCGTTTCGAGGATTCGTTACAACCCCGAAACTATTCACCGCTGCATTGGAAGACTTTTTCAAGCTAATGGACTGGAATGGATACAATAATAACATCAATGGCGAGTACATCACTCATCTTCGATTTGCCGACGATATGCCATATTATCCTTATAGCAGTCGCTGAGAACTTAAACAAGGAGGACCTATGCTCAATTTCCGCAACAGTATCTCTCAACGGATAAGTTTTAAGATGAACGTGGACAAAACCATAAACTTAGGATAGTAATAGATACTGTCATACTGTGCAAGGGGGGAGAAAATTCCTTATGGCAATATAGCAAGATTATAGAATATATTATAGAATATATTATAGAAAAATATATTATAGAAGACAGCAAATTTCATGACTCTGTGACTGATTTTAAATGACAATTGGTATAAAAGAAAAGCAGAACAATTTTTTTTTATAAAATGTACCAATTCATACTTTATTTGTACCAGTAAGTATAATATTAACAATATTATACGTAATTAGTAAAACTTTAAAAACTTAACTTCAAAAACTTTAGATAAAATAAATACATATTTTTATGCATTATAAAACTGTAGTACATTTATTTTGTTATTATTATGTTATAACGATAAAAAATCTTGAGAAAATGACGTCTAGTAAGCACTCTGGCATCTCCGTATACACATGCAGTAGTATTATCTGTATGGTTTTCCTAACATTGCCTTTAAAACTGCCCACTGTGCTCTCTCGATTATTTTTAAATATGTTTTAGACGCACTGTCGCAACATGTTATGCAGTAAGTTATCAGCGATTAACTAAGGGCTAACTGTGTGTATATACAGATTTTAGTATTCCCTTATTTGGTATGTAATGTAGCTTTCTCATTATATAGATAATCCTTCTGATTCGGTTGAAAGAACTTCTATGTGCGATTTAAATCCCAGATTTTCATCAAAAAGTATACCGAGATATTTTATAATCTTAACCCGCATAATGGACTCACATGAACAGCACGACGGATTCATGTCGCATGACTCTTCATGCATTTTTATATTCAAACCAAACTTCGGAAAAGAGGCATTTGTTTTATAAAGACATACATACATCGTCTTTTTTGTTCAATGTTAGTAGATTATTCTATAGTCACTGAGAAATTTGTAAAGTACCTCGCGAAGCGATAGAACAAACAGATTTCCATGAAGACCCGTGAAAAATAACCGCGGTATCAACAGCGTATAAGTCCCGCAAAATTGCTAGTGTACCTAACCGCCATTTTGGTGACGTAATCTCGTAACATTGAATACTCAGTACCGTTAGCACCACTGGCCAGCGAATACGCGTATCGAGTTGTGAACACGCACATTTTAATTATTATTTTTCTAGTTATCTCGTTTTGTTTGTTATTGTTGTTGTTTGTTATTTTTATTATATATGTGTTAAAATGAGTAGAAAAATAATTAATAGCCGTGCTCGTGAAATTATAATTAAAGTTGAGAATTATTTTGTAAAAGAGAAGGAGAACACTAAGGTACTATTAATGTTTAAAGCAGATACTAAAACCGGTGATTATGACGACCAGATGAATTTCACAAAACGGTCAGAACAGAAACTTATACCTAATATACCACCTAATTGTATTATTGTAATGGACAACGCCTCTTACCATTGTAAAGAAGAAAACAGATCTCTCATCATGAATTCAAAAAACAAGTAATGTTTGAGTGGCTCCAGGCACGCAACATTGAGTTTTCTGAACACTGCACGAAACCTGAATTATATTTATTAAAAAAAAAAAACTTAAACCCGAAAAAATATATAGCAGACATGGCCACGAAGTCCTAAGACTGCCGCTATATATAATATTAGTATAAATGTTTTTTTTTTGTTCATTGTACTTTTTAATTGCGGATGACGTCACATGGACGTTAATGTCATAAGGTCCCACCGCATTACCAATTTGCGGGGCATAAAATATCGGCATTATCAAATATTACCACTTGAATGTCATTAATATATAAGAGAAATAATGTAAGTCCTAAGATGGTCTCTGGGCTGGGGCTCCCCAGTGCCAGCTTCTTCCACTTGACCGCATCCAGCGCAGAGCGGCTCGAATCGTCGACGACCGAGTCCTTTCCGATCGGCTCGACTCATTGGCACTGCGAAGAGATGTTGCATCTCTTAGCATTTTCTTTCGCATTTACCATGGGGAGTGCTCTGAGGAATTGTTCGGATTAATCCCAGCCGCCAAATTTCACGAACGCACATCGCGGCAGAACTCCCGATACCATCCACACCATCTGGATGATTGGCGGTCCACCACTGTGCGATTTAGAAGATGTTTTCTTCCTCGCACAACTTCCTTGTGGAATAGTTTACCACCAGCGATTTTTCCGGACCGATACGACTTAGGGACCTTCAAGAAAAGAGCCTACTCCTTTTTAAAAGGCCGGCAACGCATCTGCAATTCCCCTGGTGTTGCGGTTGTTCATGGGCGGCGGTAGTCACTTACCATCAGGTGAGCCGCATGCTCGTTTGCCCCCTCTCCTATAAAAAAAAAAAATGCTACCCTGTGGGCTGCAAAACTGATTACTAGTTTTTTCAAGAGAATAGAAATGGATATAGTATCGAATTGTATCGAAAGCCTTGGATGGGTCTAGAAATATCCCAATACAGGATTTTTTATTATCAATATGCGCAGACAGAGTAGTCGTTAGTGGGTTTACATCACCTTCCGTGCTTTTACCCTTACGAAAAACAAATTGTTATGGAGGGATACAGTCGAGTTTCTTGAGATAATCCACAAGGCATTTATTTACTAAAATGAATTAACAAACCACATGACGGCAATTACTGCAGCTCATAGGTTTACGGCCAACTTTAACAACAAATAACACCGTCTTGAAGTCACCTTTGTGAACTGAGATGGAAAACTTCACAACCAATAAATATAATAGCGCAGATATTCTTTAAACCAGAAAACAGCAGTGGGTAAAATATTGCTTGGCAACAACAAAAGTTCTACAGTCAATACACATACATACTAATACTAAAACATTTTAAGACCAATTTTTTGAATTCTTTCTAACATTATTTTTATATTTGATCAAGGCTTGCATAGTTTAATGGTTAAGGATACACAATGCGGTGTATCCTTAACCATTAAACTATGCAAGCCTAGTAGTCATTTTATTCGAATCGAAGTTTGACTAATGTCGTGAACCATTCCAGTTCAGTTGGAGCATTTTAAGTTTAATTTTAGGAGCGTTAACAGCATTGCTAGTTATCTTTTTATAAAAAAAAACCTTGAATGAATCACTTTTACGTTTCTATACTTTGATAATTATCATTTGTACTTATCTATCTGGTGTTTAGTGGGTAGGTACTTCTTCAAAGTGAGTCCCACATTACCACGCAGCCGGCTGCGTGTGTATGCTATGAGCATTCACCACCTCCCTCCCCCGCTTCCGGAGGTTAGACTTGCAAAAAAATGGTGTAAGAATATCCAACAGCCAACCCACCTGCCAAGCGTGACAGCTATGGAAAATATCCTCCCTATGAGGTAATCTATGGGGGAGGCCTATAATCAGGAGCGGACTTTTATTTTTTTCGTACACCTCTCTACTTTAACCTTTTTTTGCGTCAGTCCTCTACGCAAAGATTGCCTGGAAAAGATCACTTTCAAAGTCTAGACTATAGACTACAGACTAAATTTTTACCCCCCCGTTTACACACTCGCGCGAGCGGCGAGGCGAGTGTTGAGGCGAGCCACGAGGTGCGAGTGTAAACGCTAGCTCGTGGCTCGCTCGCAGCTCGCCTCGCCACTCGCGGCGCTCGCACCGCACGCGGTTGTTTGTGCACGAGGCAAAGGGCCTCGCGAGGCACGCGAGCGTGCTGTTTACACTCGCGCTCTCGTTTTAGCTTGGTTAAGGCGCCCTTCCATAATGACATTCAGATTGCTTTTGTTTTAAAATTACAATTT